CTTTCCTTGCCTTTTCCAGCTTCTAGAGGCTACTTACATTTCCTGGCTCATGGCGCCTTCCTCCAGCTTCAAAACCACCAATGTCCGGCCAAGTCCTCCCATGCTGCCGTCTCTCTGACTCTCTCCTGCATTCGTCTTCCACCTTTAAAGACTCTTGCGATTACGCTGGGCCCACGTGGATAATTTTGCATGATGGCTCCATCTCAAGGTCAGCTGATTAGTACCTTAATTCCATCTGTAAACTTAATTTCCCTTTGCCGTGTAACATATTCACAGGTTCCAGAGATTAGGATGTGGGCATCTTTGAGGGGCCATTATCCTGCCCACTGCAGAGTACAAATAGCTTCCTTGTAAGGTTGTTCCCTGGAAGTTGCACACAACACTTAGACTCAAATCCTGTTGGCCAGAATTTAGCCACATTTTCACATTGAACTGCAGGGGAGGCTCAAATACAGTCTCTCTAGGTAGGCAGCTATGTGCCTGGTGAAGACATGGAAGAGTTCTATTACCAAAAAGAAGAGGTAGAATGGATGCTGGACAGCAGTTTCCAGCCTGTGCCCCATCAGGCTTGTGCGTTTTTGCCAGAATCTGCCATTGAAATGCCTTCATTTCATTGTGCCACCTTGGTATTTTTGCCTAATGGTTTTGAATTAGCTCGGAGCTGCCCTTCACCTGGGTTTGGTTTCTAATCTGGGAGAAGTGATAGAATCATCTCCTTTAATGGACTGCACCAACTACCTCATGGTGATTTATTTTCTGATCTTTATATTGATTTTTTTTTTCAGGGTCTCTGTCAACCAGACTGGAGTGCAGTGGCATGATCAGAGTTCACTGTAGCCTCAAACTCTTGGACTCAAACAATGCTCTCACCTTAGCCTCCCAAAGTTCTTGGATTACAGGTGTGTGCCACCACGCCTATCCCATATCGATTTTCTGATGTGACTAGCAGGGTTCCAAGTCTACCTGGCTGGTGGGGTTCAAACTTTGGTTCTCTTATCCGTACCCCTCACTCATTCCCTCCTCTGATATTATTAGTGTTCATCTGGGCTTCTCTATGTTGGCCTCTTACACACTTTATCAGTTCTTCCAGTGTTGGAAGATGTAGTTTTCAGTCAACTCAAATTTAGGAAACTACTAGAACAATGATAATAGAGGTAAGGAAAATGTATGCATGTTGATGCTTATAAATATTTCATATGAGTAATGAACATAAATCTTCTAATCATATTATCAGTTGTTTTTATAGATGTCTTATATACTTTTAAATTCTTTTTCTTTTTTGGCTACTCATATCAAATCTTTCTTTGATGGAAGGCAAAGCAATGTCTTCTACAATAAAAGCTGGTGGTGAATCCTGTAGGCAGAATACATGGATCTGAAACCAAGAGTGGTGACACATGTGACAATGTTCACAATTATATCCAAATTACTCACAGGCAAAATATTACTTTCTGTACCTGTACCTGTAATTTTGGGTTCTGGTCTCTAGGGAAGCATGTTTTTACTAGACAACATAACAGATTTTCCATTGAATTGGAATATACACCAACACCCAACAATTTCAGGCTCCTCAGCTAAAGGGTAAACAGATTGAAGAAAGTGGGGGTTGGTTGTAATTTTGGCTGGTGTAATTGATCCTGACTCTTATCGGAAATAGGGCTGCTTGTTCTCAGAGGCCACAGGGAGGCATGTGACTGGGACCTTGACAATCCCTGTACTACCATGTTCAGAAATAAAACGTAATGTCAGAGCACTCTACCCCTATATGTGCAGGACCATGTTCAGAGATAAAACGTAATGTCAGAGCACTCTACCCCTATATGTGCAAGACTCAGAACCCTCTGGAGAAAAGGTTTGGGTCATCTTATCTGATAAAGAGATGCTTGCTGAAGGCAGAGGGAACATGGAATGATTAGTAAACAAAGATCATAAATTCCAGCAAGAGCCTCCTGAGTAGTTACGAAAATGAAGTCTGTGACCTTAATCTGTTTCTCAATATGTGATGTTTTGTATGTATTTATATTTTTAGTTATCACATTTATTTATTTAAAATTGGAATTGCACTCTATTGCTCAGGCTGGAGGGCAGTGGTACCATCATGACTCCCCACAGTCTCAACCTCCTGGACTTTAGTGATCCTTCTGTCTCAGCCTCCAGAGTACAGGGACTACAAGCGTGTGCCACTTCATCTGGTTTATTTTTTGATTTTGGTAGAGACAAGGTCTCACTGTTACCCAGGTTGGTCTTGAACTCCTGGGCTCAAGCAGTCCTCCCGCCTCTGCCTCCCAAAGTGCTGGGATTACAGGCATAAGCCACTGTGCCTGGCTCAAATATATTTAATAACCTTTTTATTCTCCCTCTTTCCTCCACAAATCTGTACTTGGTGTTTGTTAGTGGTCAACTGTTCAATTTTGCTTATAAGTTGAAGTATATCTAGACAGAATTGTGAAGTGAAAAAGGAAGACCTCAGAGTTCGATACACTCAGTGAGTGATGAGACTTGGGCTTGGTGTCCCTTGACATTAGGGTAGGTGTGCTTTCCTTTGGCTGAGTGCTACATTTTGTTTGGTGGAAGCATTTATTTTTGTTTAGAAGGGGAAATGGAATACAAAATGCATTATGATACTCAAAAGGGAAAGCCATGGACTTCAATAGAAATTTGTCATTTTGTGATGCCTGGCATCAAAATCCTTCCTATTGTGGAGGATTCAAAGACAGATAGAGGCAAAACTCCCTTCCTAATGCCAAAGCCACAAGGGGCAGATGTTCTCCCTACTTACCCCATGGCACCCAGGGCAGAGGGAGGGGCTCAGCCAACCAGATGCTCCTGCTGGGGACGCTGAGTCATGAGACAGTGACACAGGACATAGGGACAGTTGCAAGTTACTGGGATACTGGAGACTGTTCATGGGGGTCATTGTTGGCCTCCTGACCTGAGCGTACCAGTGTGATCTTGGAAATATTCCCAGATGCATAGTTATCTTTATTTCCTTTTTCTCCAGTCATTTCTTCACTTTTGTGTTCTGTCAGATATCCTTTAAGTTCCTTTCTGCTTAATAAGCTGTTGTTGGTTTCTAGGGTTTTCATGCAAGACTCAGACTGGTAAAATTGATTTTTTTTGCATTTTTAATATAAGGCATGCTAAAATGAATTAACAACAAGGCTTTCCACCTCCGTCTTTTAAATTATTTTCTTAATATATAGGTTCAGCAGTGGAATTACTGGGTCTTAGGATTGATACACATTCTATAATTACTTTGCAATGTATAAAAGATGCCAAGCCAGGTGCAGTGGCTCACACCAGCACTTTGGGAGGCCGAGACAGGAGAATTGCTTGAGCTCAGGAGCTTGAGACCTGTCTGGGCAACAAAGTGAGACTGTGTCTTTACAGAAAAATCAAAAAATTAACCGGGCATGGTGGCACACACCTGTAGTCCCAGTTACTCGGGAGGCTGAGATGAGAGGATCACTTGAGGCCAGGACACCAAGTCTGTGGAGAGCTAGGATTGTGCCACTGCACTCCAGCCTGGGCAAAAGAGTGAAACCCTGTCTCAAAAAAAAAAAAAAAAGAAAGAAAGAAAAAAGAAAAAGAAAAGAAACAAAGCTGCTATTTTACTGAATCTTGCCTTGGTAGCATCTTGAACAAAGGATATATAGCAAGTAATAGATGTCAGAATGATTTATCTGACATCACTGAGTAATAAGATTTTTCACATACATACATTTTAAGAAATAACTAAAGCTTATTTTAAACACCAAAGTTTAGAAAGTGCAAACATATGTAAATGCAGTGTTTTCAAAGTACATCCCATAGTTCCATCAAATTGCAATGCCCAGGAGTCTCCTAAGATAAGGAGTTTATCTTGCATTTTCACTTGATTCCCCAGATAAGCGTGCTTTTCTAAAGGCTGGGGATTTTTCTGCTTCTCTAGAACTCAACAGCCGGTTAGTCCTCCCAGTCAGCAGATAGAAACCATTCTCTCTTTAATCATTCCCACACCCCCTGGTCTATTACTTGTATAGTCTCTGATCACTGAAAAGGAAGAACAATTGAATGTTGCTATTGCAAACAAAAAAACCATGCTTGTCAAATTGCCTATCATTTGTACAAAGTTGAAAGTCAGTATCTAGATGGGAAAACTGAAGTGTGTTTCACCCTCTATGTTGGAGCAAAGAACTGAGACTTTGTGACAGCTGTAGTTTTCTCTCTGTGTCATTTTATGCACCATTCATTGGTGGAGTTTGCAAAAGTTTGTTATAATTGTTTCCTTCAAGTGAGATTTCTGGGGTGGTCTTTCTGTAGAAAAGTTTCCTTCTATTCTTCTGGATGTCCAGGGAAATAGATTTTGCAATTTTCTTTTTCTTTTCTTCTTCTTCTTCTTTTTTTTTTTCTGTAGAGATGAGGTCTTGCTATGTTGCCCAGGCTGGTCTTGAACTCTTGCCTCAGCCTCCCAAAGTGCTGGGATTACAGTCATGAATGAACCACCATGTCTGGCTGCAATTTTCTTTAACAGCCTATACTTGAAGAATTTTCATATTTAGGTATAATCCTAAAGCCCTTTTGTTGAATTTTAAAACTCATTTTTTATGTCCTTAATAGAAATGCTCCAGCTGATCTTTCTCTTTCATACATCAATGTTGATGTATATTATTTCTTATTCAAAAGTGTGGGGCCAAACTCTCTTAGAATAATCCCTCTGAAGGAGAGCTTTCACAAACAAAAGCAATGCACTTTATTATAAATCATGCATGCATAAAAAGTTAATGTGAATTCATAGACTCATTGTGAAATGAGACAGTCCAATCTTTTATACTAAACAATAAGAACACAAGTGCTAGTCTTTTAAAAATAAATAGATTTTACAGCAAAAATACCCACAGACAAATTATGAAAAGTAACTCAATATTTATCTGTCTATTGTTCTAATGCCATTAGGGGAAATCAGAACCCTATGCTTGAGAGAATGAGTGTGTGGGAAAATGAGTATAAAAGCAAGTTATATTTTGAATTGTATGCATTTTATTCTGAATAGAATAATAGTTTTCCAAATGAAAGCAGATCCAAATAAATATAAAATAAAAGACAATCTAGTAAATGCCATTTGTATGTATCACCCAGTCTAGTAGTGGAGATATTTATTTAATGTTTAGGTTCATTTTTGACTGGAATGATTATTACTCAATAGAGTACTTATTTACATTGTCATGTGTAACTAATTATTTTTAAGTTATGAAAGAGAAAGAGAGGCAAGAGGAAAGATTTTTGAAACAGACCCAATCTGCTTACTTCTCTCCTTCTATTATGAAGTGGCATTTTCTGGGCCAGTTTCTCAATCCAGCCACACTGAGCAGATCTGTAGTGAAGAGAGGCTGTGGGGAAGAGAAGGTAGAAAGCCTGAAAGAGTTTCAGAAGATCAGAACAGCTCTGTGGACTTGTGCATCAGAAGCCAGAAACAAAGGCACAAGCATTTGCACTTGAACTCTGCCTAGTTATAGCAGGTAGTATACTTATTTTCCTGTTCAACTATTTCATTTTTAATGGCAATAGCTTGATCTTCCAATTGTTTCAGTTGATCAGCTTTTTCTTGTCTACTTAGGTTCAAATCTTGGATCCTCTTTTCTAAATCTGAAAGAAGAAAAAAAAGAATGATATGTTTCCATTTGATAGCTTCCTCCTGATAGCCACATTATACCAAACATGGGGGGGGGGGTGTCTCTTAAAAATATATTGAGTTTTGTGTTTCGATTCAATGGATAAGACATTATTTCACCAGGCCTTGCAAGGTTTTCATATAAATCAGAGCAAATTGTTATTTTTGTCTAAAAGTTTTTATATCTAATGACATTTGTCAGGGTGAGTCTGTAGTAGGTTAGAAGTCATTAGAAAGGAAAAGATAGATAATAGCATTGACTGAATTTGCTAAAGTGCTATATTTCCAAAAATGTGTTATTATTTTAGCTTCATTTTTAAATGTGTTTTCACTTTAGTGTTTTCCAGTCTTTCAGAGAAAAGGACAGACATTTTCATTTCTTCATTCTTCTTCCCTGATGAAATCAAAGGTCCTAAACAGTAAAAGCAAAGTAATGCCTTCCTTGGCTCCACTTTTATCCATCTGTTGATCCATCAATCCATCTATCCTTTGACCTGTCCATCCATTCACATATTCATTGATCATTTGATAAATATCTGGGAATTCTAGTAAACCTTGAAAAAGAGCCCATAGAGTAGTGGATAGAAGAGGTGTAGAGTGCTACAGTTAACAGTGAGGTCTTTTGACCACCTCTCCTTGGATAGATGTGGAACTTCTGGAAGAAAGAAGGTAAATGTCCCCCTTCACACTTGAATACTGGGCTAGTCTGGAGTAACTGCCAAACTAACATGTGTTCAGAGGAAAGAGATTACTGAAGAAATTTAAAACTATCCTGGGAACAAATATTGACTTAGCTGGTGATGTTTCATATGGAGAAAAGACAATTCAGGGCATGCAATGTAGCTATTTTTATGTATTTGAAGGGCCAGCGTAGGAAAGCAGAGTAAATGTGCTCTTTGTCATTCTGAGGAAATAAAATGAAAACTAGCAAGTCAAGCTCCATGAAAGAAGATTTTTGTCTGAATATAAAGAACTCTCTAGTAGTCATGGCTGTTCGAAGACTAAGGAGCTGCTGTGGATGGTGGTGTGTGTTCTGTCGCTAGAGACTAACAACCATAGGTCATTTGAGATTGAAAAGGGGATTCGACATTGGAAGTATATTTGGACTAAAAGAAAAACACATCCCCGTGTTTCCACTAGGTAAGTTAATATGATTGAGCTGGTTACTCTTCATTCTCTTATTCTCCAGCCTCATTCTCTATCCTGTTTGGTGTTCTAGAAAGCTACCCTCCATGGATGACACCACCCAGCAAACTTGACCTCTGGCTTTCATTCACACTTGGCCAGTGGATGGTGCTGACAAGTGATCAGAGGGTGGGAAGAGTGAGCTGTCTCCAGGATCTGGTTTCTCCATCCGTCAGCTCCAGTTCCTGTGGGGTGGCCTCTTCCATAACTCTCAAGTGTTCACAGGACTCTGGTAACATTCCTGCTTCCCCGGCCCCTGCGGGTCTAGAAATGCCAAGGACTTCTCACTGCTGCTGGTCACCCAGTACTACCATACCCTCAGTTGATTCCCTTAATTCTTATGCATGCTTTGTAGTTCCTCCCATCAAAAAAGTAGAATCTACTTACCCTCCGCCTACCCCCTGCCTGTCAACCTTGGCTGACTTTACAAGTTGTTTTGACCAATGGAAAGTGGAAGAAATGATGTTTCAGGACCTCAGGAACCTTGCATCTTCCTTTTTCACCATGATGCCCTGAAGCTTCATGCTGTGAAACAGCCCGGGATAACAGACCATGCCGAGAGAATACCAGCATCTCAGCCAAGCCCAACCCCTGGCAGATCTGCCCACAGAGCCATCAGCCAACTGCAGCTGCTTGAATAACCTAGGTGAGACCTGCAGAAGAACCACCCAGGCAGCCCACAGACAAATAAGAAATGGTGGTTGTTTAAGCCATTACATGTGGGGTGGTTTGTCATACAGTCAATAGATAACTGAGACAACTCCACTTATAAATACATTATCCAGAATTACATCTGAGTCTTCTTTCTGTTTCTTGCGGGAACCCCGACTAACAAGTCCTGTGGAGGGACCTGGGCTGCAGGCTAGGGTCCATTCCCCACTCTCTGGACATTGGTGCTGCCAAGGGTACCTTCTTTGTTTCCCAGGGCCATCCCTTCCTACCAGATGGGAACAGAGCATAGCTCTTATGGTTCCTCCCATCCTCAAGTGGCAGCATGGGGAAGACAGACAAGTCGATGTCTCATTTTTCTGTCTTGTTGAGTTGTGAAAACAGCATTAAAGTGAAAAGAGAAAAAGGAGTAGCCTGAATTATTTTAGACCTCTCTGAGAAGTTCTCTAACTTAAACTTCTCTTCCATTCTAATTTCCGAAACGGAAAATTTTTAGCCAATGGGGATCAGCGGAAACAATTTGGACTCTGACATAAAACACAGGACAGAAATATTCTCCCTAAGTTTTTGCTCCCATAGTAAGGACCAAGAGCTGAGATAATGGAAAGTAATTTTCATGGTATCATCTATAGAATGTAAGGGTTTTTTGTTTTGTTTTGCTTTTTTCTGAATCTTTCCTTGAAAAAAAATCAAGGAAAATGCTTAAAAATGAAAAACAAATACTACCCATAACTCTGCTGCTTTGAAAAAAATTGTGTAAATGTAAAAAGCAACGATTTCCCCTCTACTCCCACTACCTCCCCAGGGAGAACAAACGTTAGCAGTTTGGTATGTCTTTTTCTTGACTTTGAGCCATATTGATGTTGCATTTTCAGTTTTTTCATGTCATAGTGATGATATAAGTGGTCATAAGGCCAAGGCTCATTTTATAACAAGTATTTATAAGTGAGGTCTTTTGGTAATTTTAATATTTGGAGAGTTATTTACATTTCTAATGAATACAATTAGTTTTAAAGTCTGGGGAGACAATAAATACAACCAAGAGTAAACCTATACACTCATATTTGCTATTTCTCGATAGTTTAGAGGTAGTTGAGGACATGATTTTCCAGAAAAGTCATAAATATCCATTGTGGAAAAATTATGGAAACTTTCTGATTTCACCTATTCTATTTTTTTTTTTTTTTTGAGTTGGAGTCTCACTCTGACGCCCAGACTGGAGTGCAGTGGCCGCTCCCGGTCACTGCAGCCTTGACCTACTGGGGCTCTGGTGATCCTTCCGCCTCAGCCTTCCAAGCAGCTGGAATTACAGGTGCGCGCTATCATGCCCAGCTCAATTTTTGATTTATTGTAGAGATGAGGTCTAACCAAGTTGTCCAGGTGGGTCTCTAACCCATGGGCTCAGGCAATTCACTCACCTCAGCTTCCCAAGGCACGGAATTACAGGCTGAGCCACTGAGCCCGGCTGATTTCACCTATTCTATGTTTGCTCACTTTATCATCAAAATGTGGAATCAAAATATCCACTTTAATAAAAACCCTTCTCTAAGTGGGACCTCATCAAACTGACAAGCTTCTACAAAGTCAAAGAAGCCATCAAGAAAGTAGGGAGACAGCACACAGACTGGGAAAAAATATTTGCCAACTGTATATCTGACAAAGACCTAACATCTAGGATCTATAAGTAACTGAAACGTGCTGAAAAGAAAAAAACAAACAGTCCTGTTACAAAGTAGGTAAAAGATATGAATAGACATTTCTCAAAAGAAGACATATGAGCAACCAGCAGATACATTAAAAAATACTCAGTTTCACTAGTCAGCAAAGAAATGAAAATTAAAACCACACTGAGATACCACCTAACTCTAGTCAGGATGGCCAGCATCAATAACTCAAAAAACAACAGATGCTGGAGAGGATGTGGGGGAAAGGGAATACTTCTGCATTGTTTTTGGGAGTGTAAACTAGTACAACCTTTGTGGAAAACAGTTTGACTACTCCTAAAAGATCTAAATATCAAACTTCCATACAACCCAGCAATCCCCCTTCTGGGAATATACCTGGAGGAACTCAAGTCACTCTGTGTAAAAGATACCTACATGCACATGTTTATTGCAGTGGAATATTACACAGCCATAAAGAAGGATAAAATTATGAACTTTGCAGCAACTTGGATGGACTTAGAGTCTATAACACTGAGTGATCTATTGCAGAAGCAAAGAACTGAGTGCCACAGGTTCTCATTCATAAGTGGACCTTGAACAATTATCATAAAGCAATAAGAAAGGTATTAACAGTAGTGGGAAACTGCGGGGGGAGGGCACACTTCATCAACAAGGTTATCTGCATTATGAACATTTGTATACCTAACCCTGAATTGTACCCCACATCAATCTTCCTCCCTTTCTCCCTCCCTCCTTCCCTTCCATCCTTCCTTTCTTTATTGAGTTGGAGTCTCACTCTGGAGTCTCACTCTGTTGCCCAGGCTGGAGTGCAGTGGCACGCTCACTGCCAACCCAGCATTGACCTGCTGGGCTCCAGTGATCCTTCCACCTCAGCCTTCCAAGCAGCTAGAACTACAGGCACGCACTACTACTACTACATGCCCAGCTAATTTTTGATTTATTGTAAAGATGAGGTCTTGCCAAGTTGCCTGGGCTGGTCTCGAACCCGTGAGCTCAGGCCATCCTCAGTCTCCCAGAGTGCTGGGATTACAGGCTGAGCCACCAAGCCCAGTCACATCTTTAAAATAAAAAAATAAAAATAAAAAAAAAACAAAACAAGAAATAACAAACAAAACAAAATAAAACCCCTTGTGTAAATATGATTCCTTCTGGATTGCTATCCAAAGATCTGTGCTAGATGACCTACTGCTTTAGAGTCTAGATCATACTGACCCCAAAAGAGTTATTTGCACGAGAGGAAAAATAAAAAAGAAAGGTTACCACAAGGTTTCTCAATCTTGGCACTATTGTCATTTGAGAGAGGATAATTGTTTGTCATGGGGAGCTATCCTGTGCATTGTAGGATACTCAGCACCATCTCTGGACTCTTCTCACTACATGCTGGTAGTACCTTCCAGGGTGACAGCAAAAATGTCTTCAGATATCTCACCTCCAGTTGAGAACATTGAGTTAGGAAAAAGGACATTCAAGGCGACCAAAGGAAATCTCAGTTTGTTTTGATTAATGCAGGACAGTTGCTTATTAATATACTTATATATTTCTAGGAAAATCGATGCAAGAGGTTTGTTACTTCCTTGTACCCCAAACACAACATGAATTCCTATTTCCTCAGTGGATTCATATGTGGTCAAACTGTGTTAAGGATAAATTAAAGTTGGTATAAATTCTACTAGTAAGGTAAAGTACTATGATACTGCTGTCAAATTGGCAGAGTGGGTTAAAGAATAGTTACCTGTTATTCTTCTTAGCTTGTCCTCTGTATCTCCAGCCAGTTTTTCTGCAGCGTCTTTTAGCTGTTTAACTCTTCCTAATGTCTCCTTTGTCAGTCCTGAAGAGCTTGTCTTATATTGAAGAAGAGCATGTTGTTTTTTCAGCTCAACAAACTCCTGTAGCAGAACAACATTCCCATCACCAGAAAGTATTTAAAGCGTGTACATATGCATGATGATTCTCCTATTGCCATAAATAAAGGGAATACAGCAGAAGCCACAATCTAGTTAATATGCTTGAGTCACTCTGATGTTTCCAACAGGCTTTTTTATTTCCCCCAACTGAGCATATTTGTTTTTTCAGGTTGAAAAAAAAACAACTCAGTTTCATTAAAAATAAAACCTTGTCACAAAGTATCAATCACTATTACATGTTAAGGCAACTACTTATGAGGCACTAATTGTTCACTCTGTACTGTGTTAGGGTGGAAGATACAGAAGTCAGAAATGACGTAATCCTGTCCTTGACAAATCCCTGGTTCAGTTGGGTCAATCAGTTGTACATGTAAAACGAAGGACAGAGTGAGTGATGGAGATTTAGAAGCAGCAAGGATGCATTATTTGGTTGGCAAAAAAGTAAGAGAGAAATGAGACAGGAAGGGAAGTAGAAATGTTTGTATGAAGATCTCCTTTGAAAATAGAATGGAACTCTTTGGGTTAGCCCGTGTGGTTGACAACGCAGAAGGTTAAGCAGACCCAGAAATAAAATATGGAAGTGACAAGAGGATGAGTAGAAAGTACCTTCCTCAAACTCTGTTCCACAGAGAATGTTCTCAACTCCCAAGTCAGTGGAAAATTTACCCGCACATTAGGAATTAAAAGTAAGAAAACAGACCAATCGTAAAAACACTAACATTTTTCTTTTGTTTAAGCCATTATATTCATGTGACCAACCAACGATTTCTTGATAAGAAAATGAGTTGATAGCTTCTTTCAGCAACCTAAATTAATGGGCCACTTTCTACAACCATTTAATTAACTCACTCTGATTTTTGTAACCTGATCTAGTCTTTTTGGCAGGTGACTTTCATTTATTGTTTTTTAAAATACGTAACATGATTGAATCAAAGTAAAGGACAGATACATACAATATAGATAAAAGACACAAATTATGGAAGTTTGGAAGCAAATTTGATTTATGGACTATTTGACCCAGACACAAAGAATAATAGGCCGAGTAGATGGGAGAGGAAACAGTTCAACTTGATTGGGCCAGGGACTTCTGCTTTCCACGAAGACAGCCTTGTGCTACACAAGATCTTTTGTGCATCGGAATCTCTACAACATATACCACTGACTCATGGACCACTCCTAAAGGAAATGCTGAGAAATGGCATACAAATGTGGGGTGAAAGGACTGCCTTTCAAAGAAGCTCTGCTTGTCTGCTCTCAATGGCAGTGGTAGGAATAATGACCTTCTCTGCGTTCCCAGCCTGGTGTTGGGCAGATTCAGCCTGAACTCTCGCACTGACAGCTTGCTCTTGATTACTTTGCAGCTTGGTCCGTAGCAAGGAAAGTCCATTTTCCAGCTCTGACTGCGGCTTTGCTAAGTCCAGTTCATTTTTCATGTTTTTGGCTTGGTTTTCAGCCTGTTATTGATTTAAAGAAAAGAAAGAATAAAAAAATCTCTTTATGAAACAAACAAGAAATTAAATTATATAGTAATCCCTCAAAAAAAAAATAAGCTGGATGTAAAGGATGAGAAAATAGTACCTTGCTTTTTCTGTTGCATTTATAAAAATGTTATAATAAAATATTAAAGACACACAAAAGGGTCTAAATAATATAACATATACTTATGTACCCACCAACCAATTTAAGAATAAAGCATGGGCCAGGCATGATGGTTTATACCTATAATCCTATTCACATGGCCACCACGGACTTAACTTGCGGGGCTCAGGTGATCCTTATGCCCCAGCTTTACAAGTAGCTGGAACCACAGGCATGCACCACTATGCCTAGCTAGTTTTTTTTATTTATTGTTGAGACGAGATCTCGCCAAGTTGCCCAGGCTGGCCTTGAACCCCCGGGCTCAGGTAATTCTCTTGCCTTCATCTCCCAAAATGCTGGGATTATAGGCGTGAGCCACGACGCCCAGCTTGTGCCAGTTATTTAAAGTAATCTATATAGCTCTAGTTCATTCATTTTTTTAAACCAATTTAAAGTATTCAATTTTTGAATATACAACAATTTATTTTTCTATTCTCCAGCTGTTATAGGGCTCTAATATTTTCCCGTTGCAAATAATAATAGTATTTTATATGTGTTTCTCATTCCAGTGACTCTATTGATCATATCTAAAAGTCCCATTTGAATATTTTTCCAATAAAACTAGTTACTTGTTAGCTCTTGTTTTTTGTTGGCCATGCTTTCATACCTTCCTGGGTTTTTTTAAACATAGTAAATATTCTTATTTTATATTCTATATCCAATAATAATCCACTGTCTCTTGCATCCTGATTCTATTGCTCATTATTTTTGATGGCTTTTGTTTTAGACAGTTTGTTTCTTTATGTGTTTGGGATAAATTCTTAAAGACTAGTTTCTAAGGTTCTATAAATCTCCTTTGGAGGGGATTTTTGTTTACTTCTTTTAGGCACGTGCTACCAACTCAGAACTATTTCAAGTGACACTTTTTTTTTAGCTTGGGTGTTGTGAATTCTAGTCTTAAGCTTCTGTGAGAGCCAGCTCGTGGTTAGCAAATCTTAATGGAGACTTTGCTTCCTCTACCCAGAGGCAAGTTTCTCTATTGGCTCTGTGTGTGTGTGTGTGTGTGTGTGTGTGTGTGTGTGTGTGTGTGTGCGCGCGCGTGTTAGTTTAACATTTCATTGAGGGTTTTGATTTTTGGGGTCCCAACTCTGCACTGCAGTCTTGTTCCACCTTGCACGAGCTTTGTTTTCTGGCTGTGATGCATGGTAATCATTAAAACCCAAAGGTCTAATGTACCAGGGGTTGGCAGATACCCACTACCTGCTGTCAGGTCAGTGCTTAATTACCTCGAGAGTCATGCTTTCTCGTCATTCTTGGCCTCTTAGGATATCTAAAATCTCTTACTAATTCAGCTGTGCATAAAAAAATTAAATATCCTATCTAACTTTTGAGTTTTTGTTTTGTTTTGTTTTTTTCTGCTAGGGGGATTCCTTAGGGTATTAGTCAGCCATATTTTTAGAAATGGAAGTCCCTACCTGAGCTATAGTATTTGTGGGAGTTTTTCTAGAGCAAAAGCCTGCAATTTTTTTCTATAAAGAATCAGATAGTAAATATTTTACACCTCGTGATCCCTATAGTCTCTGGTGCAACTATTCAGCTCTGCACATTGTAGTGCATAAGTATCCATGAATAATATGACCTGTGACCGCCTAGAAGGGGAAAACCTGGGGGCCTTCTTTTTTTGCCATCCTATATATGCAACCTCTTCATATCCAACCCTTTTCTTTTTTGGTACATTACTTCCTGTTCTTTCACTCTCTGTTTTTTCTCTGAAGTTGCATGTATAGCTATATAAAACACAGCTGAAGAATAGAGACTAATTTACAAGTTTTAAGGAAGGGGACATGACAGAGGATGGAGCCATGGAGCAACAGACTTGACACCCTGGGATTAGGGCCTGGGGAGCTCCAGGCTTTTTCTCTCTGGGCCCTCACATGGATTTAATGTGGTCTTCCTTCCACGAACTCTGAGTGCAACATGTTCCTTTGGATGAGATATTCTTTCAGCTTTAAGATATTCTGAAGAGATTTCATGCAAATTTAGTTAAAAAATTCCTGTGGCAATTAACTCTATTTCTTTGGTTTGTGAGTTTTAAAAAATATATTCCTTTCCTGGTATCAAAAGGGATAAGCTCTGGCCTCATATCTACCATTAATTAGCTGTATGACCTTAGGCAAGTCACTTAACCTCCCTGAATCTCAATTTCCCCATTTACAAGCTGGTGGTAGCACTTGCCTTGGTATGAACCTAAAATTGGATGCAATTGATAAAATGATTTGGGGAGGGGCATGGTAGAACATTAAATAGGCGGTTTCTCTTGCCCAAGCCAGCTCGGGCATGTCTCCCACTAATAAACTTTGTTTCAAAACTTAAAAAAAAGGACCATTAAATAAATGCATAAAACTGCCAACATTAATGAAGCAGTACTACAAACATTAATATAGAATTGTAATTAAATGCATAATCCTACCAAAATCTTAATTTTAGCCTCATGTAATCCCATCAGAAAGATAAGGCTAGCATGACTTTGACATACATTAAAATTACTGTGCTGTTTCTGCCCTTAAAATCTATTTCAAGTTAGTTTCTAAGAAGACAGGGACATACCTGCAGCACATTCTTTTTTATTTTTGTTATCTCAGCAGTCAGCTGTGTGATAGTAGAGTTAGCCCACCCTTGAGTGATCTGAGCTTGTTGCAACTTGTTCAACATTTTGTCAAGATTTGATAGAACATTTTCTGCTTTCCTAAGGTAAGATATTAACATATCAGATTAGATAAATATACAATTATTCATTTATTTCACCTTAAGAAATTTCATTCGACTCAACCAAAAACTTTACTGATTTATAAAGTAAATTTAAATTAGTCTTGAGTAAAAGAGCTGAAGTTTTCATTTTGATAAATAGGTATATTTAAATACCAGTACACACACACACACACACACACACACACACACACACACACACACGTCCAGTAGAGACAGACTTCACCACGTGTGGAAATTAAGGATATAGGTCTTGTTTCTTTTTGATTTGTCAAAAACAGAGAGGTTTTTAGAGCATATAACTGTCAGTCTTTGCACGTAAAAACCATCCACAGCCAATTCCAGTTCCCTAATTTTTCAAATGTAAGCACTGTTTTCTAAATGTTTATTGGAGTGAGGGGTGGGAGAGTCAAGAAGCCCCACAGAGAGAAAAGAGAGGACTAAAGGGCCTGCATTTTCAGGCTGTGTTTATTCAGGGTTATTTAAGCTTCACTGACATTCCAGCCACTCAGGGGCCCAGTCAGAGGTTAAAATCACAAGCATTCCAAGTGATACAGTCAGTTTTGCAGAAAGGAGCTTACCTAAAGTTGACATTCACCAGATACTTAGATCTATGGACTCAAAACCACCATGCGAAGAAGGCACCGAGAGAGTGAAGTATTAGACCTTTGCAGAAGCATCATGAGAAATGCATGTTCCCAGAGTGGAGTTAGCAAAATTGCAAAATAGTCCTGTCTTCATCCAACCCATCCTTCCCTCTCAGTGGTAGTTGTCTTTTCCCTTTCTAAAATTCTGGAGTCTTCTTTCCTCATACGCAATACCTACCCCAACCCCAACTTTCATTTCTGCAACATTCCTGGGGTACCAGTATCCATTTCTTCTATTCCTCATTCCTTGCCACCATATTTTTTTATTGTATTCTTTTTACCTTTAGACTTTCAATGTACTACTACTTATTATAGTAAATTTAGGAAGTACCAAAAAAAAAAAAAAAAGAAAAATTTAAAAAAGGGAAACACATCAGTAATCCTGCCACCTTTTAAGATATTGGCATATTCTATAAGATGTCTGTCCTATAATATTTTTTTCCTGATTGAGATCCTCTTTCATGTATAATCTGTTACCTGCTTTTTAAAAAGCATTCATATTGCATTGTAAGAATTCCTGTATGCTATTAAAAAATCTTTCTTCAGCATCATATTTATTTTATTTTGTTTTTTTGAGTCGGGGTCTCTCCCAGACTGGAATGCAGTGGCACAGTCCAGCTAATAAAAAAAAACTTTTTTTTTTTTTTTTTGTAGGGACACACAGTCTTGCTATGTTGCCCAGGCTGGTCATGAACTCTTGGGTTCAAGCAACCCTTTCACCTCAGCCTTCCAAAATGCTGGGATTAATGGCATGTGCCACCGCTCCTGGCCTAACATAATTTTTCATTGCTAAGTGATTGTACTACATACTTAATCTTCCCAGTTTTAAATATTAAACCTGGAAGGGGTTGGACTTTCAGAGGAGTCTGGTACATGTCATTTGTACAAGTGGATGATGAGACAGTGAGGAAGGCTCAGGTCTCAACTCTGCTGAGCACCCAACAATGATGGCGGGTGCTGATGATGTGACTGCCAGCCAACAGACCCTAGAATTCTGACCCATTCCATGCTCATAAAATATCAAGATAGTTTTTCCTTTTTTGCTCAACTGAGTCAACAGGGCAAAAGGAGGCAAAAGTTATTTGACTCTGTACGCTCTATATACCATTTTAGTCTTGTAGTATTCCCAGGGCACTAGTGTCCATTTCATCTATTCCCTACCACCAAACCTTTTTGCTGTAGTCTCCTTTTTTCAATTTAGATTTTGAAAGTACTGCTTATTGTGGTAAACATAGAAGGTACCAAAAACAGGTAAAGAAGGGAAATATATACCGATATTCCAACCACCTGTTAAAATACTGACATATAGTTAGTATATGGCATTTATTGGTATACATTGACATAAAGAGGTATAAGACCACTGGAAAAGCATTTTGAATCTAAGCAAAACAGGAAACCAGCATCCCCGCATCCTGCCTCCCAGTTGCCCAGCTCTCTGGGGCATCTGCAAAGAGAGCTCACTCTCAGTTTGGACACCGAACTATTGGACGATAATTTCTCTTGAACATAGCTCCCTAGGCAAATATTTTTCAGATGGCCTTTTAGCAGATGTTCTGTCAGAGCAAGATAAGCATATAAATACTGTACTTACTCAGCTACTTTGGCCTTCACCAAAAGCTTTTGGGTTCCATCTGCTGCTTTATTTAGCCTATTTTCATCTGCCCTGTAGTCCTCACAGAGTTGCATAAGTTTCTGTATTGCGTCAAGTCCATTGGTTAGATTTTGTGATGGTACTGGTAAGTGAATGTCAAGCCCACCATTCGCAACCTTCTCTATGTCTTCTGGAGGCACGTTTTCCTCTTAAATAAGAAGGTGGGTTTTAGGTAACAGCGTCCCCTTAACAAATGTATCTTATCAATATAACTACAACAAACTAAAATCAAATGTACTCGTGTTTAATTATGTGACTCTAGAATACAGGGCTTACATTGTAGATGTCGCATAGATTCTTTTTATCCTCAACAGTCTCCTCTCTCTGAGTGAAATATTGCTTGTGTTATGTTGAATATTTGCTGAACAAAGGCTTGTTGGAAAAATAAAAAACTTAGAACATTGTGTATATTCTACAAAATGTCCAACTGAGAATTATTTATTATAGGTAGATATTCAGAAGCAATTAAAAAGTTTAGATGCCAGTTGTTAAAATTTAAACACAATTGGCTGAGTGTGGTGACTCACAACTATAATCCTAGCACTTTGAGAGGCTGAGGCAAGAGGATCGTTTAAGCCAGGATTCGAGATCAGCCTGGGCAACATAGTGAGACCATATCCCAACAAAAATTGCAAAAATTAGTTGGATGTGGTGGTGCATGCCTGTAGTCCCAGCTACTTGGGAGGCAGAGGCACAAGGATTGCCTGAGTCCAGGAGGTTGAGACTGTGGTGAACCCTGATTGTGCCACTGCACTCCAGCCTAGGAGACAGAGTAAGACCTCAATTCAAAAAAAAAAATTAATTTTAAAAACTTAAACACAGTGTATGTGATAATGGGACCATGAAGCAATGGGTTTGAAGTCAACAAAATTTGGTTCTGGTTCTCCATGATATTAAAAAGGCTCACAATTTTTGCTCATCTTTGAGCATCTGAAAATGCTCAAAGGCCTATTTTCAGATAGGAATGAGACAGTACAGAGTAAAATAACATGTAAATAACTTGTTATAAATAAACATTCAAATACATCAATGCCCTGCTTGTCAGAAAAATAAAACTGGTCTCATTGAGAACTGAAGTGGAAGGTGGCCTGTTAGAGTTTGGAGCGACAACCTTTATAACTCTCCAGCTGCTTGCTGAACACCTATCAGGCATAATGCATGATGCTAAGTCCCATAGGGAGTTAGAGATGAACTAGACATGGATTTTATCCTCAAGGGGTTTCCCACCAAGTGAGGACCTATAAGACACTATATACAAATATTGACCAGATGGCGACAGATGTGATAACTACAAGGCAAAATGCTGTGGGATTCAGTGGAAGGAAAAAATACGTCAGGCAGGACTTCAGATGCATTCAAATTGGGTCTTGGAGGGCAGCAGGTTTAACTTGTGGAGACTGTGGTGTGGGGTGGGGTAAGATGCATTCCAAGCTGCAAAAAGTTTGGGGTGATACAAGAAACAATGCATAGGTCACTCTAGGGAGGAGGGTGGTGTATCTACATGGGAGGAGCAGAAGTTTGGAAAGGAGAAGTTTGGAAAGGATGGAAGCAGATCATCCAAGTCCCAAATGAGAGGCCAAGGAACTAAGTCTTTGTTCTAAAAACACTGTGAACCACAAAATATTTTCAGCATTTGAGTGACATGACACTAGTATGTATCCTTTTTGTAGTCTTTTTTGCTTTAGCTATTTTGTTTCATATAAATGGAATATTTTACTTTCTGTAATGGTTTTGAAACAATGTGACAGATTTTTTTTTTTTTTTTTTTTTTTTTAGTAAACTAAACTTTGAATTAGGGAGTTGCCTCTTTAAAGAACTAGTAACTTTTTAATTAAAAAAAGCTCTTGAGAGGGTGAATTTAATTCAGTCACTTATTGATTCATCAAATATTTATTGGCATTTATTAAGAGATTAGAGATTTTTTTTTTTTGAATTGGGGGCTCACTCTGTCACCTAGGCTGGCGTGCAGTGGCATGATCACAGCTTACTGCAACCTCAGCCTCCCAAAGTGCTGGGATTACAGGCATGAGCCACCACACCCAGCTCAAGTTTTTATGTACTGAACTTTCAGGAGAAATGACACATAACTTTGTTATTAAGACATTTAGATTTCAAGAAAAATATTAAGATGGTTAAAAAAGAACCGAATGGTATGAGCACCATCTAATGTAATGATCATTTTTATTTGGACTTTGTAGCCAGGACAAGAGGAGAAGGAAGGAGTGGGCAGAGGACACTGAGAATCATGAAAGCTATCTGGTTGCCAGGGCTTTTGGGACCCTGAGTATTAAAAAGCTTCTTGTATGGAAAAGACTTTCTCTATGCTTCCTTGTGGCAATAGTTCTCTATACCGTTAGTTACATGCTCTGGACATAAATTTTTTTCAATTCCTCAAGTTAATTAAATACATTTTTATTCGAAATTTATTCAGTAACAACAAGTAAGGGAACAGGCTCTTTGACCCCCCTGAACTAGGTAGAAAGCAAGTCATGTGGACTGTATTTCACCATTAAGATATTTCACCATTTTCATGCAACTAGTTTGGCAATTTTGATTGCATTTTCATTCCTGGATTGGCTTGTATCTGTGGAAATAGCTAAAGTGCTTCTCAATTCAACCCAATCTTGGTTCTGGGTCCAGTTTATATCAATTCATCTACCTAACTCACTGGAAATTTGCCTTTGAATAAATAAAGTATCTAGTAGACAGCTCCTACCTCATTCATTTTTACTGATTATTTTGTTCAAAGGTAATTTCTGCCTAATTGTTTTTATCTTGAAAATCAGGACTAGGAGAGGCACCAAAACAATTTCTAGAAACATTAAGATAGGGAAAAAAAAAAAAACCCAAAAAACAACAAAAAATTTGACCATAAAGGTCTCTTATACTTACTGTATAGATTAATGAAGTGATTGAAGATTTTGCAATGGATACCCCAACTATCAATAAATTCATGTAGAAAGTACTAAATTATTGAATTTGGAAAATGGTTATGGAAAAGCCTCTTAAGATTAGTTCCCTAAAGTGTTGTACGCAAACTACATTATTTGCAGAGAGTGAGGTTTTAGGTCATTTTCCAGTTTTAGTATTTGATTTTTAGCTTTAATAATTTTATGGAGTTTAAAACAAACCTCTCTCAAGCACAATAAATAATGAATCAAATAGATTCTCTTGGTCAGTCATAGAAAGCCAATGAGAGAAGACTTGGAATATAGTCAATAATAATTTATGATCAATTGTTTAGATGTCACCTCACTACAGTATGTGATATACTAGCCAAAATTTGGCATTTCTTGATCTCATATTATCTGTCAGCAAAGAAAATTACTTAATCTTGATGTTAGGAAATCTGACACAGCTATCATTTAAACTTTCCTTTTTATAAAAACCAATAATAACTTTAACATAAAGTTCATGTGTTTGGTATTTTAACTAAATTCTAGGATTTATTACCAAATTAATCTTATACAGAGAGCCATCATCTTTTGGCACAGAGTTGGTAGTTTGAGAGTATTCTCATTAAGAAATTTAAAATCAAAGGGTACATCATTTTTCTGATTTAAGCATGTCATTTCCAATTAATATAATTTGGAATTGGTTATTATGCTTGAATATGCATTTAAAAAGGAAGAAACAAAAACTAGTCATAATATTTTTTAAAAATTACCTAACAAAAAGTTTTTCACTTTTTGGATTAAAAATTTGATTTTTTCTTCTGATTCACTTTGATTTTTTATGTCTTCCAGTTTCTCATTTAGCTGTAAGGCATTGTTTTTGAAGATTTCTGCCAGTTTACTTATATTTTCGATCTGGAATAAGAAAAAAAAAATCGTGAAGACAATACACAACAATTAGGTATGTTCTATGATGTTTAATTTCTTAACTAGACCAAATAAAACTATCACTAAAAACTAAAAAGAAGTCTAGATAAGCCACAGATTCATTTGAAAGGATTTTTTTTTAACCAGGTGTTTATCTGTTTTCATTATCATGTTTTCTTCATAACATGAATGTATCTTTTAGAACATTGTTGGTGATCAAAATTATTACTTTGATCCAGCACAAATGAATTTTTCTAATATAAATCTAAAACACGAATTTTGTTTTAATGAAACTTTAGCATTCTATGATACCAATACTTGCACAGAAATTACCTAGGACTACTTACCTTCAGTGGCTTTCATGTATAATAGGTTGAGAGCATGTTCTTTTATATAAATTAAAATAGTTACTCTGCTAAACATTCCTCAAATTCAAGTAAAGTACTTTATTTGAAAGCTAACAAAGAAACCTAACAAAAAAGCATTCCTCCTTCTAATAAATGAGTTTGCACTGAGAGTGGGCTACAAAGATAAACTCCAGACACTGTGTACACTTGGTGGAAGAATAATAGGACTAATAGACAAGCAACCTAGATGTGCGAATTCGTAATTATGTGATTTGAGAAAGGCCATAGACTTTTTCTTGGAATTTCAGTGAATTAAAAAGAAGAGAAAAAACCCAGAAAGCAATAGGACAATATTGTCAATAAGCTGAGCTTTAATGAATAAACTAATTGTGATAGAAGTAGGGCTAATTAAGATCAAACACAATTAGTAAACAAACAAACAAACAAAATCTCCCTTTATTTCCCCACAAAAGAAGCCTGCTTAAGTTGAACCATACATATGTTTGTGGAAAAGGATTTAAATTATAGTCATTGACAAATGATAAAACAAAAAAGAAGTAATTACATGATTTAAAATGTGTATCTTCATTTTTTTGAGATTGATCCTTAATTCTCTAGAATTTTCTCAGCTTTAAAACAGATAGCAGTAAGAAAGGATGGCAGTGAATTGTGAATTCCAGAAATAAATATGCCAGGCAGGAAAGCACCAAGTGATAACAGAGGAAATCTCAGTGTGGATTAGTTGATAGCATAGAAAGAAAGAGATCACTAAATTACTTCACTCTTAAAACATCTATCTGCAATCCATCTTCTGTCACAATTCACTCCCGAGAATTCTCTCACAATCTCTTTTGGCACTCTTTCCCCCTCTAATCGAAAGGAAAACAACACACCATTTTATCAGCATGACAAACCACTCATCATTTTCCATTTCTCCGTTTGTGTGCTGATTAACCAGATTCTGCTAATATGGATGTCATGGGTTATCTTTTAACACTCACAACTTAATGCTATTATTAACTCAGTAAAATAATCAAGTGACAATCAGGACTCATTTAAATGTGGTGAGATTTCTTTCTTTTTGAGAAGGGACAATATAATAGTTTAAAATTACATTACACAATTAATGACTGTTTTAACCACTGGGTTGTAAGACCACAATTTACATTTGTTAGTTCACTGTTGTATTCTCAACCTCTAGATTACTGCCTGGCACATAGTAGGTACTCAGTGAATATTTGATAAAGCAATGAAGAATCACATATAGATGAAAAATACTGAGGCAATGCAGAATTGTTACTATGTAAGTAAAAATTTTCAACATCTAGTATGTGTAGGATATTCCCCTGCTTGACTATTTAGATGCTTACTTGAGAACTTGGACTCGGGCCAGTGGACAAGGGTATACAGTGTGTGTGTGTGTGTGTGTGTGTGTGTGTGTGTGTGTGTGTGTGTGTGTGTGTCTTGGCTGCGGCTTGCGGCTCTCACCCCATTGAGGCCTGATATCCTTTTCTGAATTCTAAGACCCAAGTGTCCTTACATATATTTCCTTTTTGTTCAGGAGTTGACTTTTGTTGCTTGCAAACAAGAATGCTAACTGATGTAATACTCAACATACATTGATAACAAATTCAGGTCTTTACAGTTTTTTTCTTCTTTGTCAGAGACTCTATGTGTATTGCCCAAAAAGGAACAGATTAGAGAGCATATTATCATGTTTTCAAAACCAGAAAATACAACTCATAAACAAACAAACAAACAAACAACCTAAAGAAAACCAAGTAATTTAATATAATTCTCACTTATAGACTGGGTATGGTGACTCATGCCTTTAATCCCAGCATTCTAGATGACCAAGGCAGGAGGATGGCTTGAGCCCAGGAGTTTGAGGTCAGCCTGGCCAGCACAATAAGACCTCATCCCTAAAACAATGTCAAAATTAGTTGGATGTGGTGGTGTATGCCTATAGTTTAGCTACTCCGGAGACAGAGGTGGAAGGATTGCCTGAACACAAGAGGTTGAGGCTGTGGTGCTCCATGATCATGCTACTGTGCTCCAGCCTGGGCAGCACAGTGAGACCCTGACTCAATAAATAAATAAACAAATACATTATAAAAAATGATACTTAGGCCAGGCATGGTGGCTCATGCCTATAATCCCAGCACTTTAGGAGGCCAAGGTGAGAGGATTGCCTGAACCCACAGGTTCGAGACTACCTGGGCAACTTGGCGAGACCTCATCTCTACAATAAATCCAAAAATTAGCTGGGCATGGTGGCACATGCCTGTAGTTCCCGCTACTTGGAAGGCTGAGGTGGAAGGATAGCCTAAGCCCAGCAGATCAAGGCTGCTGTGGCTAGGAGCATGCCACAGCCCTCCAGCCTGGGAGACAGAGTGAGACTCCAACTCCAAAAAAAAAAAAAAAACCTACTTATTTATAAATATGATCAGAAAAGTAAATTAAATTGCTTCAAATTATTACCAATTCAATTTTATGGCACTTAAATGTTAAAACAACTTTATCACATCTATCAACATAGGAGGAAGTTCAAGGGCATAAGAGTATATTCCTATTAAGCTATTTTCTAATATTAAATTCTAACAGTACAATGTGTATGTTTAGTAGAATTTCAAATATACCCTTGAATTTATGAACAATTATTCTTTGCTTTGAGATATTTGCTAAGGTTAGAAGTCTTGACATTTCTATGTAGTGTTTGCTATAAAACAACCTGTCCACAAAGTCTATAGCTACATTAGTATACTTTGAATTCCTTCTCTTTTCTTTCTTTCTGTAAATACACTCTCTCTCTCTCTCTCTTTCTCACACACACAACTGACCCTTGAACAACACACATTTGAACGACAAAAGTCTACTTACATGCAGATTTTTTTTTCAATAAAATTACATTGAGTATACCAGGCTCTTTTTCTACCTCCCCCACCTCTGCCATTGGAGTCAGCAAAACCAACCTTTCTTCTTCCTCAGCTTACTCAATGTGAAGATGATGAAGATGAAGACCTTTATTTTAACCTCATTATTTGCTTGATAGCATTTTCTCTTTAGTTTATTGTAAGAATACAGCGTATGATACAGACACAAAATATGTGTTAATCAACTGTCTAAGTTATTGGTAAGGCTTTCAGTCAACAGTAGACTATTAGTAGTTAACTTTTTACGAAGTCAAAAGTTATGTCTGAAATCTCAGCACTTTGGGCAGCTGAGGTGAGACAATTGGTCGAACCCAGGAGTTTGAGACCAGCCTAGACAACGTTGCGAGACCTTGTCTCTATTTAAAAAAAAAAAATCTCACTACTTGGAAGGCTGAGGTGGATTGCTTGAGCCCAGGAGGTCAAGGCGGTGGTGAGCCAATGCACTCCAGCCTGGGTGACAGAGTGAGACCCAGACAGACACACACACACACACACACACACACACCACACACACACACACTCTCTCTCTCTCTCTCTCTCTCTCACACACACACACATACACACACACACACAATTTATACTTGGATTTTTTTAGTTGCAGGGGAATTGGGGGGGGGCATTGCTGACCCTAACCCTGCATTGTTTAAAGGTCAACTATAAAAATTAGCCAGGCATGTGGCACCCACCTGTAGTCCCAGCTACTCGAGAGGCTGAGGTAGGATTGCCTGAGCTCAGGAGGTTGAGGTTGCAGTGAGCCATAAATTGTGCTACTGCACTGCAGCCTGGGCCACAGAGGGAGTCCCCAACTCAAGGGAAAAAAAAAAGTCTCTCTTTCTCTCTATTAGAAAATATATCTACTTCTAAATCTATATTTATATTCACTTATATCCATATCTATATGTTTATCCTATTTTCCAGGCATAAGAAAACCTACAATATCTCTTATTGAAAAAGTTAAATGGCAGTTTTATACATTTCCAACAGTCTGCTTCTTTATTACTAGAACTTTACAAACAAAACAAGATAAAATATTTACCTGATTCTTCAACTCATAAACCTGGGGGTCCAAATTGTGAATCATGGATTCTGCTTGCTGGGCTTTTTGGAGGGCCTTCCTTGAGAGTGTCAGGGAGCCATGACAGCTGGAACCACCACACCGCCTGTGCCCCTCAGGGCCAGTGCAGAGAGCACCACCACAGGGCGACAGCACACATGGCAAGTTCCCTGGACTTCCGCATACCTTGCAGGAGAAATTGATGTATGTTAAAAAGCAGTTTGTTGGCAGTCTTTTCTAATGCCATCCAGGCTCCTTGAGGCAAGGCACTACTCAATTCATTTGTGTTTCTTCAACAGTTGTTCACACTCAGTACTTGGGGGTAACCCATTCAACATTGCCTAGGTAACAAATGTCTAAATTATTTATCATTATTGTGCCAATCTGTCATTTTTATATTTATAGTTTTGGAGGAAGATAATCAAATTTTTAGGATTTCCATGTTAACTTCATTTTTATTCTTTTAAAATCGAAATGACCTCTTACTTATAATGAGACAAGAGGAGTAAATATTCATTCTCTGCACTGTTTTAGAAATAGCAAGCCGGGCTTGCTCAGCCTGTAATCTCGCGCCTTGGGAGGCTGAGGTGAGTGGATTGCCTGAGCCCGTGGGTTCGAGACCCGCCTGGGCAGGCGAGACCTCATCTCTACAATAAATAAAAAAATTAGCCGGGTGTGGTAGCGCGCGCCTGTAGTTCCAGGCTTGGAAGGCTGAGGTGGAAGGATCGCCGGAGCCCAGCAGGTCGAGGCTGCGGTGGCCGGGAGCGGCCACTGCACTCCAGTCTGGGCGACAGAGTGAGACTCCAACTCAAAAAAAAAAAGAAATAGCAAATAGTGTAAAATGATAAAATTACTCTTTGGTTTTGATCAAACTTTGACATTAAAAAAATGTTTATGTATCTAATTATTTATATATTAAATAACAGAACATATATTACATATGTTTATATTATTTGACATATTACAACAAATTAATTTAAATATTTATAATACATACATTAAAATGAAATAAAAAATGTGAGATAGGGAAATATAATTGAAAAAGTCTGTATATCAAGTAGAAATCACAAATGCTGTTACTATACTGTCATAAATATTTACCTTTTCATTCAACATTTGGATATCTGGAATCTTAATCTGCTTTAATTTTTCCAGTGTCAAGTTTCCTTTTGATGTTAGTGTATTCAAGATGGTAAATAAGTCATTCCTGGTACTTTCAGAGTTCTTTAAGATGGAACTAGTTTCATTAATTTTCTTTCCAGCAGATGATGACATGTGATAATACCTCTTGATATTTTCTGAGAAGTCTATATCAATGCAAATTGAGGTGAGGTACATTTTGTGAGAACATATGAAATTATATATCAGCTATTCTACAATTTGGCTACTGCCTTCATCTCAATTATTACTACAAAATCCTAACATCTTCCTTGGATTTGCATTTAATAGGGAAAGCTTAGCTGTAGTGCAATAGACAGGGCTAGAATAGATACAGATCATTGAGAGTTTGGTCCACAGCTGTGCGGTGAGTCCTGCCTTTACTTTTTACTGCCTGGGCATGTCCTTGAGAAAATCAGTTCACCTCTTAGATTGTTTTCTCATCGGTAAATTGGTGATCATAATTAATAAAAAGTGATATAATATGAAAATATACTTTGTTCCACAAATGTAAGGTATTAATTTTGAATGCCTATGTAAACTTGAATATGATAAACCTACTAAGTTTACTTAACTCTGTAGAGCAGGAGTGGACAAACCTTTTCCGCAAAGGCCAGAGAATTAATGTTTTATGCTTAACTGGCCCATGTTGTTTCTGTTACACTACTCACCTCTGCCACTGTAGAGTGAAGGTAGATACAGACAGTATATAAATAAAGAGGTGAGCTTGAGTTCTAAGGGAACAGTATTTATAAACATAGGCTGTGGGCAGGATTTGTCTTCAGGCTGTAGTTTGCTGACCCCTGATGTTGAGGCTGATCAAAATAGCTAACAATAGCCAATGGAGTACTTTCTTTTTTAAAATTTTTATTTATTTATTTTAAAGCTGTGGGGTACAATTTAGGATTAGGTACATAAGTGGTCATCGTACAGGTGAAGTTTGGGTCTCTCATTGATCTTTAGTTCATCTGGTTTGGGAGTAAGTACCCTTATATTGATGCTATTTGCCCCCTCTCCCTTCCCTGGCAGTGTCTGGCTACTGCCAATCCCTTTCTTGTAGTATTATGGTAGGTATTCAGTGTCCTCTTATGAGTGAGAACATGTACTCATTCTTTGTTTCTGTGATAGATCACTGACTATCATAGACTCTAAATCCATCCAAGTCGCTGTGAAGTCCATATGTTTGTTCTTCTTTATGGCTGCATAATATTCCATTGTGTATATGGACCACATTTTTTTAATCCAGTCCGGTTTCGATGGGCAGCATGGTTGGTTCCATGCCTTTGCTATTGTGAATAGTACTGCAATAAACATGAGTGTGCAGATATCTTTTTTGTAGAATGATTTGAGCTCTTCCGGGTATATTCCCAATAGGGATATTGCTGGGTCACATGGAAGGTTAATTTCTAGTTCTTTCAGAAATCGCCACACTGTCTTCCAAAGAGGTTGCACGAGTTTGCATTCCCACCAACAGTATAGAAGTGTAGAAGCGTTCCTTTTTCTCTGCATCCTCACCAGCATCTGTTGTTGTTTGTTTTATTAATGATGGCCATTCTTACTGGGGTTGGGTGGTATCTCAATGTGGTTTTGATTTGCATTTCTCTGATGATGAGTGATGTCTGTTGGCTGTTTGTATGTCTTCTTTTGAGAAGTCTCAATTCATGTCTTTTGTCCACTTTTTAATGGAACTGTTTGTTTTTTTTTCCTTTCCAAATCAAAACCAACCCATGAGCATAACATATTTTTTTGTTATGTGTCTTCTTTGTGTCTTCTTTGATCACTTTGAGCAGTGTTTTGTAATTTTTGTTGTAAAGGCCTTTCGCTTCTCTGGTTAGGAAGATGCCAAGGTATTTGTGTGTGTGTGTGTGTGTGTGTGTGTGTGTGTGTGTGTGTGTCTATTGTGAATGAGATTGTGCTTTTTATTTGGTTCTCTGCATGTTTGTTGTTGGTGTATAAAAATGCAACTGTCTTTTGCATGTTGATTTTGTACCCTGAGATTTTGCCAAAGTTAATGGAGTACTTTCTATGTGCCTTTTCCATTCTTCCCATCAGTTTTCTTCCTTAACACATTTGCAATAGGCAAAATTTTCACTTTCCTAATACTGAGAGCAGGTAAAAAAAATCTGAAGCTGGTTGCCACAGACTTCTGTCATTAGGCACAAGTGAAATGGTCTTTTCTAAATTGTCACCTTATTCACAATACAGCTGAAAGTTGCAGACATATCCAGTAATTGCCTCAGACATGACTCTGACTAGTATTCCATACTTTGAATTTTTATTTGGATTATAAACTGAATCTATATGTTATATATATGCATTTCTTCATTTACATTGCATCATTATATCACTATCTGTCTCACTATCACTAATAAGTTCACTGGATTCACCTTCGACCTCGGAAATCTTATCAACATATATTTCTTCATTTTCCATAATTATGGCAAATTATTTTTAGAGTTGAAGTGTGAGTGCCCTGAAATATCAAAATACAAGTATACAACACTAATTGCAACAAAATAATGACCAACTTGCTTTTATTACCAATTATGTAAATCAATAGAAATATCACATAGTCAATACAAGATAATTATCTCAATTAACTTTCTCTCTCCTTACCTCACTAATCATTTTCCAGCAAAATATAATAACACATTGCAGTATTCAGAAACAGAGTTTGCAAAGATGTAAATTCACATCAGCGGCAACCAGGAACAGAACTTGCAAAGATGTAAATTCACGTCAGTGATCTTGAATGAGTTAATCTTCACAAAACAGTGTGGAATGCACGTTTGTAAAATTGTACTCATTTTACAAATAAGCCAACTCAAGTTGATGAGGTAAGTGATTTGTCTGAGTTCTCATTGACAATAAGAAATAAAGCCAGGATCCCAAGTAGACTATAGACAGTAGAGTCTGTGTTCTTAAGCACTTCTATATATTTGTATTAAAATATGCAGAAAGCAATATGGTATGTTTTAATGTAAATTGTAATATATTAGACCTTTCAACTATAACTTCATATCTGAGGAACCAGAGGCCTACGGTACTGATCTTTTCTCCCTACATAACCATAATTTAAGCATGAGAGGACCACATCTTTTTTTTTTGAGTTGGGGTCTCAATCTGTTGCCCAGGCTGGAGTGCAGTGGTACCATCATGGCTCACTGTAGCTTCTATCTCCTGGGTTCAGGCAATCTTTCTGCCCCAACCTCCCAAGCAGCTGGAACTACAGGCGCACACCATCACGCCCAACTAATTTTTGTTTTTTTGTAGAGATAAGGTCTCATTATGTTGCCTAGGCTGGTCTTGAACTCCGGGACTCAAGCAGTTCTCTTGCCTGGGCCTCCCAAAGTGCTGGATTACAGGTGTGAGCCACCACTGACATCTTTTTAAACTTTCTTGGTTCTTATACTTCCATGACCTTAATATATCATGTTTTTCATTTGACATTTAAAAAATGTTCCTGTTGCTTGGAATGATTTTCTTCTCTTATTTATCTAGCACATTTATCTCCATCCTGTGGAGATAATTCAATATGTACCTACTCCCTGAAGCCTTTCCTAATAAACCCAGGAAGAATTTAGTTCTTGCTACTCTGTTTTTGAAGCAGCTTGAAAATGCTCGAAAGTAGTTGTAACTCTGCTTGGGGTTGTTTATATTCTTGTCTTCTCCATTGCACTGGAATACATATAGCAAGCCTCTGGCTTCCTGTATTCATTTACCCGTTTCCACTGCATAACGTCAGGCATTGAGACAAAGCTCCATAAGTGCTGCTAGACTGCAAGGTTAAGAGGCTTGGCGTCGGGGCAGTTTTACTTTTTCTACCTGACTTGGGGTGACCTCGGATGCATTTTGAATTCTTACAGTGAGCACTTTCTTCCGACTAAGAATCAGAGTAGACTCCTTACTCTTTACATAGCATTTATTGAGCATCATAAATATAGGTTTTTGCTAGAATTTATTTCATAAAATTTAGGCATTTCTTTAGGGCAATTAGGTATTCCTAATTCCTTTTATTTTGTTTTTTCTCTTTGAAGTCAAAATCAGATGAAAAACAGGAGCATACCACATAGGATAAGGAAAAGCAGCCAATGTTTTTATCTTGACATAGGTTTATGTGCATTTTCCCTTTTCCTCTTAGTTAGATGCATTAGGTATGAATGAACTCAGGGCTGAATCTCTTATTGGTTTCCAAAATATAATAGGAATGTCGTTGTAAATAGGAGATGAGTTAATCAAAATTAACTTTAGAGTTTCATTTCTTCTGTAAGTTGATCTTGGCTTTGACATAGCTCACATTCAATTTTAGGAACTGTGCAATATGAATTAAGGACTTGTCGTATGTCACGTGACTCTAGTCGCTACAAAGTTCTTCAGAAAAGTGCTGTGTTTAATTCCTTTTGGCTTCATATTCCTTTGTACTAATGGTTGCTGAAAATGGAGGGGCTCATACCCAGAAAGGCATAGTTACATATATCTTTCACTTGTTTATGCCCATGTTTGAACTTCTAAGTTGCTAAGTATTCAAGACCCCTCGCATGGGCGTGGCAAGTGATTACTTGGAATATTAGTATGTGTTTAGTATTAGACATTGTTAGCTTTACTTGTTACTTTGAGCGAATACTCTCCAGGCTCTGCAATATTTAAAAAGTTGAACTATCCATGAGCAAATAATACCTTTAATGGGCGTGTTTGCATGTTCTAAAGTGCTTGGGCACTATGGTGGTAAGCACAGGATGACTCACTAATGGAATGCACTATGTATTTCAACAAACTTTGTGCAGAAACAAAGTGTATTTTTTCCCCCTTACCCAGGATACTTGCATTAAGGACCCTGGATTGCAAATCAATTTCTTCCTGAAGGTCTTCAAGTAAGAGGTCTGCTTCATTCTTAATTCTTCCTATTGTTTCTTTTAGATCTTGAAATTCATACACAACTTTCAATTGTTCATTCAGCTGCATGATTTGTTTTCTGTTGGAAAAAGGAGTGAAAATGTGGTTATAGCTTGTATCACACTTGATATTTTGGTGGAAAAGAAAGCCACAAACGTCACCCTTATTATTAGGTATTCTCAATTAGAAGGGATTCCCCCGCCACAGGGTTTCATTTGACAGTTTATAATTCTGTTTATGGCTCATCTTCTTCCTCTTAATTCAGCTTCCTGGAATATTTAAGCACTCACTTAAAATGTGACTAGCATACAGGGTCTAGTAGAATAAAGGTTTTTGAATCTTTCTATTTCAACTATTCATGATCTCTCCGTTTTCTTTTGTTTTGGGTTTCAAAACATGTATTCAGACATGGTTCATTTAAATCAGTCTAAGAGGGCTGGTCTCCATTTGGCTTTCAGCACATGATGAAACAGAACCCCTGACCTAGCCTAGGGTAAAATCAATTCGAATAAATCTGCACTCTGCAAGGTTCTTTTAGTGCTACTTCTGAACAGGGTCTTAACTTTCAATTTGCACAAGTGATAAGGAGGTTTTCTAGATGGTGAGTGTACTCCTGGGTGTGTGTGTGTGTGTGTGTGTGTGTGTTTTCTATCACCTTCCTCTCTGATGGGGCACAATTTGTCCTACTTCAATTTTCTGGGTTCAATACATATAGTTAGTTCAAAAAATAACAAATATGTTCCTCATGGGTGGAGAAATGGAGTGCAAATCTTAAGAGTAAAACTGAGGGAAGTTATAGTATGAATTTATAGTACTAATTTATCTTGGCACAACTGCAAGCATTAACCAATGCTTCCTGGCATTTTCTACTGTAACTCTCCCTTCTAATCTACACACTTTTCCTTCAGGCTCCAACTGCCAGGACTACAAATTCTTCAGGCCAATAATAATAACAACAATGAAAAGAATACTAATAATCACTATTACTTTAACTGGCATTCCTTAAGCACTTACTATGTGCCAGACACTATGCTAAGTGACTTGTGTTGACTAATTCTCACAAAGATCTTATAAGATAGAGACTTTATCCCACTTTTTTGATGAAGAAACTGAAACTTGGAGAAGTTAAGTAACTTGCCCAAGGCCGCACCTTAGTAAGCGGATTTGAACCAGGAGGTTTGACTTCTGAATTTACGCTCATGACACCCTAGGTTCTTTGCCCTCTGGCTCCCCTTTGACTTGTACTTTATCCAACAACGTTTATTATATTACACACCAGGCCTGGAGAAGACAAGCATGGGAGAAGGTAGGTCCTACCCTGGGTGTCTCCCAGTGAGGCAATGGTGAAGGAGCACAAAGGTAGGAAGATGAGGACAAGCCTTTCTCTGAGGAGATCAGGGAAGGCTTCAGAGGGGAAGTGGTGCACGCGTGGCTGTTAAAGAGAAATAGGAGTTTGGCAGGTGGAACAGGAGGGAATGGGCTTCTGGGCTTCTGGGGTCACTGCTTTTGTCACTTCAGACCTGGCCTAGGGACTCCTCTCTTCTCTCTGGTTCTTCTTGGGGCCCTTGCTATCTCTTTGTCTGGGATGTCCACTGTGGATTGGTTCATTCTGCTTTCTTGGTGTCACTTTGTCTGACATTTTCCTAATATCTGTAACCACACACTAGTGGTCCAGGGGCCAAGCTCATTCTTCGACAAGTTTCGTTTTGGCTCTACAATGCTTCTTACAAGTGCTATTGGATTAGCCGTCTACATTCTAAAGTGGGATATTTCCATAAAAATCTGGATGTCTGACATCTCTTGAAAAATGGGGGGGTTTGGTAACACAGGACCCAAATCCTGCAGTACATAGTTCTTTAGAGGGCTACAGACGTGCCTGTTCTCACAAGCCAGCTTGACGTGGCCACGTGGCCTCCCTAGGTCCTGTTGTTGCATTTGTGATACAGTGGCCCTTTTCCTGAACTATCTAGATGGGTTGTATCTCCTTCCTCGTGTAACTGTTGGCAATTACCATATACCTCTGGGATATTTGCCTATAATGAGTGACCTTATATTTACACTTGTGTTATATATGACACAAAACCCTGCAGCTTCAACTATTTCTTTATCCAGAATCTTTTATTGGGGAGGAAGGATATTTTGCTACATAATCACATTTTTGGGGGGTTTCTTAGCAGACTATCTGCTTCTCTGAGGGTAGAAATTGTACCCAGTTTATCCTGTTTTTACCCAGAACAGGTTGACAAACTTTGCCTTGGGAATTATACCATCTCTGTCATAACAACACTGTCACTGTAGAGAGAGAGAGAACAGCCAATGAGAAGTAAATAAATGGTGTGGTTGTACTCCGATGAAACTTTGCTTAAGAAAACGGGTACTGTGACAGATTTGATCTGTGGGCTACAGTTTATTGGCCCAGAGCAATCAACACAATCTCAAGAAATGGTTGATGAATGAAAAAAAAAAAAAAAAGAAGAAGATTCAATAATGTGTAATCAAAATGATCTTATATTTTGAAGAAATTACCATACTTGTTATGAGTTCATATTAATGTATGGGCTTCTGAATAACTGAAGGATTTGGAAAGATTTGGTAAAATTTCCCTGCCTGGATCATTGGAAAAATAGATTATTTGTATTCAAAATTACTGTACTTTCAATTTTATATCTTTCAGCTCTTCTGGATTTGGGCTTCCCAATTAACCTCTTAATGATTGTCTTTTTGTTATAATCAATGACATCTGGAAAAAGCACATGTAATCCTAACTAGGTAAGAAAGGGGCAGAACAACAAGATTACCAGCCTGGTTATTAACTGAACAACTACCAGTTTCACAAAGCCAGCACAGGAACATTTCTAAATCGAAGGCAGAGGACGTGAAAGCTCAGTAGGAGTTAAAGTAAGTCAGGGGTTTGGCTGTCTGTTACTTGAGCACAAATCTTACCTAACAGCGTCATGATAATCCTTGACTTTTAAGAATTTCCCAGATGGGAAAACAGGATGTTTCAAAATCCTTTCTATTTCAGACATGTTCTCTCTGAGGCCTTTGAAGTCTGCCTCACAGACAGGCAGCATCTCTCTTTTATCTTCCATGTTAGCAGCCAGCCTAATTAACCCTTGTACCACTTTGGAGAGGGAAGAAATGGTGTGGTCCCATTGATCAAAGCACAAGTGACATCGAAGACAAGTAGGGAATTCCTGGCCATGACCCCGGGCGCAACGATCACATCTCTGGCCACTGACACCCTCCCTGCAGTGGCACATGCCAGTGCCTGGGTCACAGGTGGGCTTCTGGGTACCTGCCTCGTTGCAGTCGCATGCTAAAAGGGAGGAGAGAAGGGGCAGAGAATGTCACTGGGTCTTTTGCTTATGACTAGCTCAAGAACAAAGTCCCTTCCTCTCTCCTGAGAATCTTTCCCAATTCACATTTCTAAGGTGAACATTTGAAGTCAATATGATTTCAGAGATCTGGGCAATAGCATTAAAATATAGCACTGACAAATCTATATTCCACTGACAAATCAGTGCTTGTTTTCTATATGGAAAATATTAAATGTCGTTTTTATTGCATGAGTGTGCACGTATACATGTGGGTTCTTCATCTATTTGAGTGAGAAATGTAAATTAAGTGGTGGACAGCACAGTGGTAACTCTACAGTGATAGCCTCCAAGAATGATTCAGGTGTGTTGTGGACTCTCTAAGAAGTCTACTGACCACATTTTTTTCTGAGTAAAACTGAACTAGTGTGTGCTGACCCATGCTGCCTTCGATGATAGAAGAAAAACTATTACATTCTCAAAAAAGGAGGGGAAATTAAATTTATTTTGTCTTAATTTTAAAAAATAACTGATGTCACACAGCACGTTATTTGAGAAGATTTCTGATCATGCCTAAGGATGGAGGATGGGAGATATTGACCTAACTATAATTTCTGGAAGTTTAGGGAATCGCTAGCCTAGGTCTAGGACTAACAGCAGGGAACAGTTTTAAAATGCATTTGACAGCTTGTGTGAAAATACGAGATACCAATTACAAATTAAAACTGATGAACACACTAGGCTCCTCAGCTAGATATCATTTGTCTGGTGCACTGGAGTTTGGTTCTACGACATTGTCACTTCACCAGCTGCAGGTCAAGGGTCTCCTCATTACCCACACTTCTCCAGAGCTGTGGTGGGGCCCGTGACCTGAGTTGCCATTTGCAGTTTCCTCTACTACATCACTATAAAAGATGAAAACATTCTTATGAAATAAGATTACTAAAATATTAGAGTAGCACAGGGAAGACTTTTCAAGAGCCAAAATTAATTCCTCCCTGTTTTTTTTTTTTGAGTCAGAGTCTCACTCTGTCGCCCAGACTGGAGTGCAGTGGCTGCTTCCGGCCACCACAGCCTCGACCTGCTGGGCTCCGGCGATCCTTTCGCCTCAGCCTTCCAAGTAGCCGGAATTACAGGCAGGCGCTACCACGCCTGGCTGATTTTTTGATTTATTGTAGAGATGAGGTCTAGCTGCCCAGGCAGGTCTCGAACCCGCGGGCTCAGGCAGTCCACTCACCTCAGCCTCCCAAAGGCGTGGTATTACAGGCTGAGCCACCGAGCTCAGTCCCCCCTGGTTTTTAAAGCAGCAATTCTTCCTAGAATTCCACTTAGAACACTGAGTAAGTGGGGTCCAGAGAAAATCATTGAGAATGTGTATTTGAATGGGGCAAGGGAATGGAGGCAATATTTTTTAGCCACAAGACCACATTTACAAAGGAACAGAGGGAAGGAGAGAGTTACCATGTGTGGCTATGTAGTTCTGACCATGATGAGAAACCCATCACATCTGACATTTCTTTGATCGACTTCCTTTGGAAGCTGACTGCTCCCTTGCAATCACTTTGAGAAATTTTAAGATAGGCTACATATTTTAATATAGGCTAAAATTTTAATATAGAAAAAAATCTTTGTATAGGTCTATAAAAATATTATTTTTGAAACTCGAATTAAACTTTGTGGGTTTTCTAAGTCCACATTGTTGAAAGTAACAACTGAACAAAGGAATTTAAAATTCAGCAGTTGCTTTAGAGCATGCCCTCGGTAGGGCCAGGCTGACTGTACATGTGATTTTAGAGTTCTTGATACTTACGATTGCATCGCCTCAGTGGATCACCATAATAATCTTCCTTGCACTCAATGCAACGTTTCCCACCATAGCCTAATTTACACAGACACTGGCCTGTAAACTGTGAGAACAGTCATGGGTGAGAAATTGACAAGCTTTATAATCTAAAAAATAATGCATTTTAATAGGAAACATTTTCCCCTCCAGTGATTTCGAACATACAGCTGTGCAAAGGCAGAGGAAGGATGATTCCCATGGCCTGCAACCACCCCCGACAATACCAAGGATCAGGAGCTAATGTGTTCTGGCTTAGGGCTCTTGAATATACCGCCTGCTTCCAGCTGTTCAGGGACAGGTGGCCCCAAACTGGAAAACATACACAGATGTAAATGAAAACAAAACACATTATGGGAAGTGAGCCACATTCTTTTCCTTGACTGTTATGGGAGTTCCCCCAAAAGAGAGGCCAAAGACCTGGTCTAATATTCATCAATTAATTTGGCAAGTAATGTTTTCACCTTGGAACATATGATGTAGTTTCTACCAACTGGCTAGTGTTTTGCTCAAAAAAATCTTTTTTTTAACAGCATATTTTTTGTACTTTAAGCTTAATCACTTAGTGACAGTTCTCTCACTGTGTTTTTGCAAGAAGGCTGAACTTTCCTTTGACCTCCCAACTGAATTCTTGACCAGCTTTTCTGAAAACTGAGGAGGATGGAAAATTAGCAGGAGAAAATAAAAAAGCAAATCACTATTGTCATAATCCTAAATCACACTTGACCAAATCTTCTTAAACAAGAACTCTCTGAATATATTTCCAGTGAACAAGTAGCCAGATTTATAAAGGGATTGGATGTACCGAGTTTCAACCCATTTTCGGAGTTCCTGCTAACTTCTGCCCTAATATAGGGAGGTTTGGGGTGCTTGTCCCTGAGACCTGTCATATTGCTGATTGTCCTCCCTGGTCTTCTCAAAACTCACAACCCCAGTATAATCATGAGAAAAATATCAGATGAACTTGAATTGAAGGACATTTTACTTAATATTCAAAGTTGTCAACGTCATCAAAACCGATTGTGGGGCAGTCCTTTCTTATACTGATAACGAATCTGCCTCCTTATAAGAACTTGTTCCCTTTGTTCTAAGTCCTGTCTTACAGAATTGCACAAAATAAGAACCCTTCCTCTTTCTCCTTACAATCCTTCTCCCAATTAGGGATGGCCATCTCAACTCGCCTTTGCTTCCCTTCTTCAGGTCGGCCACTCATGATTCCTTCAAGACTTCATTGCAGAATAGCATGGCTCTTTCCACTATCTTGGTTGTCTTCCTTTGAACACATACCAGTTTGTCAATATAATGTTTCATATGTGGTGGCGAGAAGTGACAGCAATACTCCTGGTGCCATCTAGCTAGCAGAGCAGATAATGGGACAATAACTTCTCTGAACCCAGGCCTGGCACTCTCCTATACCAGCCTGAACGAGCGTTGCCTCTTTGGCTGCCCTGCAATGCTGCTGGCTTGCGGAAGCCTGCACGCAATGATGAAAATCCTCAGATGTTTCTCACAAGAACTGGTGCCAAGTTATTACTCCCACCCTGTATTCATGCAAGGGATTTTAAAAACTCAATTGCAGAACTTCACTTTTACCCTGTTAATATCTCATCTTCTTGTTTCCCACCTGCATGACAGCCTGTTGGGATATCTCGCCTCTTGGTTCGGTCTTTATATGAGCTTACAGCTTTGCAATATCTGAAAATTTGAGAAGCATTTTTTCCCAACTCCATCTAAACTGTTGATGAAAATGTTGGACAGCACATTTAGACCTTTCTGTGGGAACGTGCTAGGAACCACCTCCTGGATGACACAGATACATTTATCAGTAGGTGTTTAAACAGCTGGGACTCTAAAAGTCCACATGTCTTCTCTGTACTCCAGTGTAAGTGTTTACTGATAGTAGAGAGCAACCTTTCCCAAGGAAGGAATCCTATATGGACCAAATAACCCTTGTCATGAAGAGCTTTTTGGTTAAACCAATGCCATCTGACTTTTAGCTACATACGCTGCCCTGAACTGTGGTCTTTGTTGAATGTTACTACAAATATGCTTCCCAAAAGGTCTCAGAAGCTTGCCAGATAGTGAGGTCATGAGGATTAGGAGTCCCTCAGCAATAAGGAAGCCAAGCAGTCATGTGGAGATTTACAATTTATCCCGTGGTTGGTGGCTACATGCATGGGGAGTGGAAGGGAACACATAAAATAGGCAGTGTTACCTCATGTCCAGACCTTGATTTTTAAAATCATTCTCTAGTAAAGGAATTAGTACTCTCTGGAGAAATGACTGATTCTAGGACTGGGGCAGGAAACATATATAAGATGAACCTGGAGAATTTTGCAGTGCCAAAAAGTAAGAAAGAGTTTTTAAAAAATGCTACAACATTGGCTTATCAAGGGGACACAGGAGCCGATTGAAAGAGAGTCCAATGGCCAACACTGGAACAATTTGATCAACAAAATAGTGTTGGGTCATATCCAAAAGTATAGTATAAATATCCATGAGTCTATACTGATATTAGGAAATGGTTGAATGAATGAATATGTGGGAGATGATAAACACATCTGCAGTGCAGAAGAATTCTAATGATTCCTAGAGCTTCTATGCCCTCAAGGAGGTAGAGCATAACTCCCTGCTCCTTAAGTGTGGGTTGTGTACAGTGATTTCCTTCCATAGACTACAGAATGGAAAGGAAGAGAAAGAGTGACTTTACAATATAAAAACTTGACAAACACTACTTTACCTGGGTGATCAAGATTCACATCAATAGTGATAAATCATGTTAATAATAAATGCCCTTGACATGATGTGGTGAGAAGGGCACTTTACCTCTGCAGTCTTCTCAAAACTTGTAACCCCAGTCTAATCATGAGAAAAATATAGATAAATTTGAACTGAGGGACATTCTAGAAAATAATCCTCAAAACTGTCTAGGTCATCACAAACAAGGAAAGTCCAAGAAAGAGTCACAGCCAGGAGGAGCCTAAGGAGATGACTAAATGTAGTGTGTTCTGAATGGGCTCTTGAAACAGAAAGAGGACATTAGGTAGAAACTAAGGAAATCTGAATAAATCAAGGAGGTTAGTTAATGGTGATGTGTCAATATTGGCTCATTAAATGTGACAAATGTTATCATACTAATATGTTAATAATAGGAGAAACTGGTATGGAGTATATTTCCTCTGTTCTGTTTTCATACCTTCATAAAGATTTTCTAAAGTAAAAATTTATTTTATTTAATTTATTATTATTTTTAAAAATCAGACACAGCTAAAAGGCAGACAATCTCGATATTTATTTATTTCCTCATTTATTTTTTGAGTCAGAGTCTCACTCTGTCACCCAGGCTGGAGTGCAGTGGCATGCTCACAGCCACTGCAGCCTCAACCTGCTAGGCTCAGGTGATTCTTCTGCTGCAGCCTTCCAAGTAGCTGGAACCACAGGCGTGCACCACCTCACCTGGCTAATTTTTTGATTTATTGTAGAGACGTGGTCTCATCATGTGGCTCAGGCTTGTCTCAAATCCCTGAGTTCAGGCAATCCTCTTACCTCTGCCTCCCAAAGTGCTGGGATTACAAGTGTGAACCACCATGCCCGGCAAAAAGTTTGTTTTTAAAAAGGTCTAATATATTTGTGTGGGTTGGTAGGTGAGGTTGGAGAGAAAGAAAAAGACATATTCTATATATAAGAACAAATTTTAAAATATTTGACCTTTAAATAATAAGTTAAACAGTGCAGCTAAAATTGGAGGAGTCACACTTACTCATTGGAGAGACTCTAGTTGTTTTAAATTAGCATTTTGATTCTACCTAAACCCTGATCTCTATATTGTGGATTTGGTTTTTTTCCCCAAACACTTCTTATCATTGTTTAATCCTTTCCCCACCAATCTCTATTTATTTTTTATTTTTTGTAGTGACGAGATTTTGCTATGCTGCCCAGGCTGGTCTTGAACTCCTGAGTTAAAGCAATCTACCCACCTCGGCCTCCCAAAGTGCTGAGATTACAGGCATGAGCCACTGCGCCCAGTCCCCAATCTTTATTAATGTGAAAATTGTTTCAAAGAATCAATTAAGTCAAAGGACAAAACCAAACAACAACAACAACAAAACTAAGCATGATATTAACAAATAGTTTTTCCCCCCACAAAAAACATTTCAGTCACTAAAAAAAACTCTTGAAGGGAGGTCCAATGGAAGGCCCAAAACTTCACCTGTACCTAAACCACTTATGTGTGCAATCCTGACTTGTACCCCACAAGTTTCAAATTAAATTAAATTAAATTAAAAATAAATTCTGTGCTCATTGTTTTACTAACCGAAAATCACATGTGCAGCTAAGTAGCATTAGTTGTATATGAACTATTAAAGGTTTGCTCCTGGTATACTCATTCACATTCTATTTTTTTTTTTTTTTAATTTTAAAGTTGTGGGGTACAATTCAGGATTAGGTATACAAGTGGTTACTGTACAGGTAAAGTTTGGGCCTCCCTTTGGTCCAGAAGTCATCAATACTGGTCTGGAAATAAAGAAGAATTCTTATGTTACTCATATGCAAAGCAATTGGTGAGCCATAGGGAATGCCAGCTCAATTTTTAAAATGGAGTTGTAGGTTCTGAAAGCATCTGTTTATTTTAATTCTGATTAATAATCACTTCTGATTAATGATGTATTTCTTGGGTGCTTACCATTATTGTGTGTATGAGGGGGACCCAAAAAACCCAGAATTTATAAAAAATTGTGTATTTATTTTTACATGTTTAAATTTCAATCATCTTCAAAGTACTCTCCATTTGATGCAATATACCTATCAAGGCACTTTTTCCACTGCTCAAAACAGTTTTTGAACTTGTCAATTTTGATACCTTTTAGTGCTTCTGCCATTTTGTGTTTTACTTCTTCTGCATTGGCAAAATGTTTCCCTTTGAGGACTTTTTTCCATCCAGGGAAACAAAAAGACATCGCTTGGGGTGAGATCAAGTGAATAGGGAGGGTGGAAAGTGGGGGTCATACATTTTTGGTCAAAAACTGCCGACAGTGCAGCGTGGGCACGTGCATTGTAATGTTGGAAGAACTAGTCGCCTGTTTACCACAAAAAATTCACTGAAGTTGAACGCAGCGCAGCCTCTCACAACAATGCTAGCTGGTACATTGATGCTGATGGGTTCCTAGAACACTTACCTAGTGAGGGGAAACAGCCTGTACTACAAGGGGCCTATGCTCTAAAAGATCATTCTGGTTTTTCTGGGTCCCCCTCATATGAAATAGCGAAAGGTGAGGTTGGCATCTGTGTTTTACTGTATACAAATTCTGACTTCCTAAGTCACAGAGAGGCCCTAGAGAAAACTGAAGTAGGCAAATTTTAACTTTGAGACATTATTATTATTATTTTGGTGTTTTCATTCCTTGATAAATGCTGACTCTACCCCCTATAAGGCCAACACTGTTTAAAAACAGGAATTAAAAATGGAACATGAAGGAAACATTCTTTACACATTTGAAAATCATATCTCATCATTAATGCTCACTCTGAGTGCACTAGTAAGTTTTAAAGTATCTTGCCTGGTCACAGTGGCTACTTTCAGAGGTCCGAAGGTCACAGTTGCATGACTGACATCCTCTGCCAGGGACCAGGTTCCAGTATCCGTCAGCACAACGGTCACAGTTCTGGCCTGCAACATTTGGCAGACAAGGGCATGCGCCAGTGACAGGGTCACAGAGGCAAGCTCCCCCACCAGAAGGACACTTGGCAGGTCTCACACCAGAAGGATGGCAGGAGCATCCTGGGACAATAAAGCCATCATTAGATGTAAATTCAGTAGCGTGTGACAACCACACAGTGTTTTAGACCTGGATATATCATTTTTCAAGGGGCTCAAAGGAAAAAACACTGTATAATAGTACAGAATTTATCAAAGAATCTAAATAATTGAACCAATTCAATGGTTTCTGATTGCCCCGAACAGCAGGCTGAGAGGGGTCAAACTACTTACTCCAAAAGCTCATACTTAGGATGACTAAAAGTCTCATTTTTCCCCCCTCATGTCATTCACCAAAGTTCCATCTCCTTAAATGATTTGAAAACAATGGCTTACTAAATTGACTTGCATGGACTGAAATAATTAAAATATGTCCTAAAAATAAGCTGTTTATTGGCTTATCTTGAACTCCTGGTGTCTCACACAATCCTCCAGTCTTGGCCCCCCAAAGACTGTTGACCAGGCTTATCTTGAACTCCTGGTGTCTCACACAATCCTCCAGTCTTGGCCCCCCAAAGTGCTAGGTTTATAAGTGTGAGCTACCATGCCTGAACCCATCTCTTTCTTTATCATAGAACCAAACCTTCATCTTCTTCTATATCGGTGATTCTCATATTTACAAAGTCATTTGATGAGCTTATTACAGTGCAGATTCTGTGGGCCTTACTCTCAGAGATTCTGATTCAGTGGATCTGAAGGACAGTTCAGGAAACGGCACATTAATACTCCTCCAGTCCCTTGTCCCCAGGAGATTCTGGCACAGGTGCATTGAGGACCACACTCTGAGATACAATGCTATGATTACACTAGGACAGGTGTTAAAGGCAATAGTCACAAAAGGCAAACTCATAACCCCAGTGAGTCCATTGTAGCGGCATCTGAGAAGATCCATGGTAGACTGCACTCATTTTGACAGATAGTTCAGTGCAACAGCCCTCTCCCCTAGAGGATGCTGCTTTTGCTGGCTGGAACTGGTCTAACTGAAATGAGCATGGGAGAGCTGACACCACACTTAGGAGCTGCCACTCAGCAGCCACATTTCCCCCTGGGAGTTTTGTAGACTTACGCCTGCAGGTCTGATTGAGGGCCGATCCAAAGTGGCCTGGTTTGCAGAGCTGGCAATCTGGGCCGTGAGTGTTGTGCAGACATTTGTGGCACTCCCCTGTCACCCGGTTGCAGGACTCTGGATCAGTTACATCTATGTTGTTGTTGCAGACACATGGCTGGCAGGGTGCTCCTGAAATTCTTGGATTTCCATAGAAACCAGCAGAGCATTCTCCACATTGAATACCTGAAAGACAAAGGGAGGAAAGGGAATGGGGTAGGGTGTGAGTGTTGGGGAGGGGAAGAGACTGATGTTGTAAAAGGAGACTTATTTGGCTCCTCCAACAATAATGAGAAGTCACTCCTTTGGGGTGAATAAGAGAAAGTGTTCTAAATTAAACAAAACATTCATTTCTATTTATTATTCATTTAGAGAATAAAATGATTATTTAGAGTTAAAAAGTCTTTGCTGAAGAATGGATTCTAGTCTTTCTTCAAAAACTGTGGTGTTGTGGGCATGGGATTTCCTGGTCTTTCTACAATCAGAGCCGCCCTAGTGTGCCCCAAGGCCTAATGCTAATCATAGCCCATTTGCCCTGGGACATCCTGCTCCTACTTGATTCTAGAGGTGAACTACAGTTAAAATAAAGCAGCCTTGAAGGGAGAGTCCCAAACAGCCGCAGCTTCTCTTCTAGAAGTAAAAAGAATCAAGAGCAGTTTCATATAAGCTCTTGAAGGTGTTTCTATTAAACAGAGTTTGGAGAAGTCATCTTTCTTTCCAACGGTCTTGACACTTCCAACCACAAGGTAACCTGAGGTTGTTTAGGTGCCTAAACTGTGGGTCAACTGTAGGCCCAAACAGGGTCTCAGTTCTTAAAGACTGACCAGTCAAGCCAAACTGGGCATGGAGAAGAGGTCACAAGGGAAGAAAGAGGCGAGAATTAATTAGAGCCATGTGTAACATTAAATGTCCCAGATAAGGAGAAAACCAAGCATGTCATTTATAATTGTGATGGTAATTATCATTGAATAAAATATCATCCTATTTTCTAGATATGATTAAATCAAGTGGGCTTCATACTTTTTTCTTGTTTGCATTAAAAATTCACACTCATGCTTAAGCTTTTTAAAATACAATTTTTTGATTGAGCAACTGATACAAGTTTTGAATTAAGACTTATGAATTTTTTTTTATCCAGTCCAGTTTCGATGGGTAGCGTGATTGGATTAAAAAATGTGGATTAAAAAAATGTGGCACATATATACTATGAAACACTATGCAGCCATAAAGAAGAACAAAATTATAGACTTTGTAGCAACTTGGGTGGATTTAGAGTTCATAATACTCAGTGATTCATCACAGAAACAAAGAACTGAATACCACATGTTCTCACTCACAAGCAGATCCTGAACATTTACCTTAATACTGTAAGAAAGGGGTTGGCAATAGCCGGAAACTGTTGAGGGGCCACATGACATCAATAGAGGTACCTGAGCTTAAGCCAGGAGAAGTGGGGACTAAAGGGAAGCCCAAATTTTACCTGTACAATGACCACTTGTATCTTGTATCCCTAATCCTGAATTGTACCCCACATCTTTAAAATAAAATTTAAAAAAAGACTTATGTGATGTCTGAACAATGTCCAAATCAGTGCTTCAGGACATCTTTAAAAAATTAGTTCTATCTGTGAAATGTCAGTCAAACTCATTGCTTGGAATTATACAAAGAAAACACTTTCTGAGCGTGGTGGCTCACACTTAATAATGTCAGCACTTTAGGAGGCTGGGGTGAGAGGATTGTTTCAGTCCAGGAGTTTGAAATGCCCACATAGTGAGGTCTAGTCTCCATAAAAAAATAAAAATAAAAAAATTAGCCAGATGTGGTGGTGCACGCCTGTAGTCTCAGTTACTCTGGAGGCTGAGGCAGAAGGATCACCTGAGCCCAGGAGGTTGAGGCTGTGATGAGCTATGATGGTGCCACTGCATTCCAGCCTGGGTGACAAAGTGAGACCCTGCCTCAAAAAAAAAAGAAAAAAGAAAAAGAAAGCATTTGACTGAGTAATTTTTAATGCTTATTTTATATATAATATATGTCACTTTATCACATATCTTAATATGTGATAATTTTATTTTAAATAAATTTTGATCTCATTTGGTCAGTTTCCTAGAACACTATTTAAAAACTATTATAGCTCAATAGAAAATAACGTTTTGATTGTCATTAGTTTTTTTTGAATTATTGAAATTCTTTGTGCAATAAGGCAGCAATTTAGCATATGTGTCTTCTTACCATTCCTGCACCACACATTTGTCCAATACAGATAAATTTAAACATGTGTTCACTTTTCAGATTGTAGTACGGGATAGAAGAAGAAAAAAATCCCATCATGAACCATGCTGAATACCTGTATAACCTTGAAGACAATTGCAGAGTACATCTGAGCTCCAAGGATTCTGATAACAGGAGTGAGCAAAATACTGACTGCTAGAGGGAACATCTGGACACAGGCAAGGATGACAGGGCTGTCCTGAAGAAGGATTTCCATAGTAACCATCGATGCACCTGTCAAGGCAATTTCCTTTTACTAAAATGTTCCCAGGAAAAGCCCATGTATCAGCCAATGTGAATTTGCTGTGTTTTAGGACATTACACTTCTCAAAGCTCAATATGCTCATTTGATCTGCCAAAAGACTTTTTGTTTTATGTTGACAGTTTCAAGGTATAGACATTAAACTCCATATAATAGCACCTGATTTGCAAGTCACATTTGAGGAACATAAAAAGCAGTGCGGCAGGCAAATGTGTATTATTGATTTAATGTGACATTTTCTGGCTCATAAGATGATTACGAAGGATGATGGAACAATGATCTCTCCCACCCATAACAGTCCTTCCACACTTAAATACTGTTGAGTCTCTATTCAATGGGCCGCCATCGTGAGATCAGAACTACAATTTTAAAACCTCAAAATTAAAGTGCATATCAATTCCATACCTTTCACAGTTTCTGCCCATTGTGAAGCCTCCACAATTGAGGCACGACCCTGTCTCTGGATCACAAAGTTCAGCAAAACCATTACAAGGGCAAGGGCGGCAGTTGGGGAATCCATAGTAGCCTGCCAAGCAGTGGTCACAGCGGCGGCCAGTCACCTCGCCGTGGCAGGAGCACTGTCCTGTTATTTGGTCACATGCAGTATTCTTTGATCCTTGAGGATGGCAGTGGCATGCTGCATTAAAGCAAAGAGAAGTCTACTGGGATGGGGGCGAGTGGTATGGTAATGAAAGAGTTACAGTTCTGAATGGGCCACCTGAGACCCAATCACCCATGCTATACAACATGTCCATGTCACAAACATGCACATGCACCCCTTGAATCTCAAATTAAAATGGGGGGGGGAACAGAGTTACAGTTCTAATTTTGCATTCCTCGTCCCAATCCAGGTGAATAAAGTGAGTCTGTAAAGCGCTCAGATCAGAGCCCAGCATATAATGAGTCCTAGGTAAAAGTTAGAGAATAATTCACTGACTTATTCAACAAACAGCGCATTGGAAGAATGGGGCTTTACAAACATTTGCTATTTATTCAAAGGAACTGAACAAGCAACACGTTTTTAATGACTTAAACCTCCATAGATCTTAGGAGTCAGAGTATAAAAAAGTATTAAAAAGTTTAGAACCCCTCTCAAGATAGTCAGATTTTTCTTTTTCTTAAACAAGACAATAGAGGCCCAATCTTTCTCTGATAAATTGTTGAATCCCTTGAGTCAATCTTCCCTATACAAAAATGTGATGCCAGTTTGACAGGGTGGCACATGGAAAAAACATTTGTTCTTTGTGTAAATACCTTTGTGTATTTCATATCTTTTTTTTTTCTTTTTTTAAAGAAAAGAGAATGCCATGGTGAGCTTGACCATTGTTTGCTGAATAGGCAGCCATACCCAAGCAATGCCCAGGAAGGGGGATCATCTCTCTAAATTATGACTGAAAAGCTATGTTCCCCTGCCTGAAAGGGAAACTAACCTATCTGTAGGTTTCCTGGTTCCTGAGGTAGGTTTCTATGAAGAAGAGTATTTTCACTCATGGTTTATACTGTGAACAGAGAGCTATATACCCTGAACATGATAGCCATGAGAGCTGAATTATCAGCTATGAATGAAACCCATCTAAGCTGTTATCAATGGGTGGCTTACAAAATGAGTTCCAATGCTGTTTGCAACCCTCACATCAGAAAGGGTGATGTCCTCAGCCAGGGAGGTCTCACCTGCGCTGACAGTGTTGTCCCTTTTTTGACTTCCCAATCTCATTGTTGTTTTAGCCTTTCCAGCCACCGGGCTTACATACTAGATCATAAAGCTGGCTTTGTACAGCAAACTCCCCTTATGGTGTTCCCACATTTTATCTGGGCTACCATCCATTTGATACAGACTGCAAACTTCCAGGAGCATGGACTATGTTTTGTTCATTCCTCATGGTTCCTCACAGAGTTCTGTGTATAGTCAGGACTCACTGATGAATGAGTGAATGAAGTATGGTAGAACAATGTTCAGTACATTATTTTCTACACAAATAGACAAACTGAAAAATGTAGTCAAGTTCCTAATCCTATCCACTTTAAAACCCCCCACATTGCTTTTTTTTTTTTTTTGAGTTGGAGTCTCACTCGGTCGCCCAGACTGGAGTGCAGTGG